GTCGCGCGGGGAAAGTTGCGGTGCGCGCAAAAGTTCCGCGTGCGTTGTGCCATATCCACAACGGCCAATTTTCAACTTAACCGTATTATAATATTATATAATAAGGCATAAATAATTCCATTGTTCGTGGGTGTAATAATAGAACTTATTGATAAGTTGTATTGTCAAATTGTACAATGCTTATCGACTTGTATCATATTGTAACACATTACGAATTTTTGTTGCTCGTATTATCTATATAGTCTATACTCTCGGAATTATATTCTTTTTAATGACCTTTCATCTCCAACCTTAGTTGGTCATATCACTCTTATTTATACATTATGACGGGCAAGACTATAGTTTGGGTCAGTTACAAAAACAATAAATAAATATGACGTATTTAGATCAATTTTGGACTCGTTTAGATGAAAATTATATTACGCAATATTTCTCTCATGCTATAATCGAACTTGTGAGGTTTTTTTTAGCTACGAAGTAAATTTCAATAAATTTTATCGTAATTTTAATTTTCAGACTCCTAATATTCTATAGCTAATGTAGGCAAGTCAAAAACACCACCTTATGTAATATGTTTGTAAAATGTAAATACGCGATAATTGTATTATTTTCCATTGACCATTGATATTACCATTTTAATGATTATATTTTCAATTAATGTTAGTTAATAAATAATAATACTAAATAGCATGTATATATCATAAATTGTCAGGCCTGCACCGAATGTTTAATTTTCGATGACCGTTGAAGTGTTGGAAAGCGATATTTTTCCGTCCAGCGGGTGGTAAAACGGTAATCCCCATAGTACCGGGGGGTAAAGTGGAAATTCAAAAAAGTGCTAGGCACGCTTATTCCCTGCACAACCAGACACTGAAATCTATACCACGGTCCTTACAAAACATAAACTTTTTCGCCTGTGACATTTTGAAATTGTAAAATCGAAATAAATAAACGTGGCACAATGTAGCTTGAAATACAGATCGTCTATATAATATTATTTTCAGGCTTCTTATACTTAGAATTTATTGCGTATATCGTTTGATAAGTACCTACCTATTATATGCGTATAGATGAGGAAAATCCAAGATAACATTTTAGGAAAATTTGTCACCCATAATTAAAAATATATTAAACTTACAGCTATGCATTTAAGGGGAGTGACTACAGGTTCAGACCATTGGGTTTTCAGCATGGTACCTACTTTGTAAATAAAAAAAGTTAGCTAAAATAGTGTTTAATTTACTAATCTAATAGTAATAAAAAATTGCTAGCGGCGTCACTGTTTTAATATCCACTGATAATAATACTTAACCAGGTTCAAACTCTTTACACGTCAACCAATGTGGGTGTAACACGATTGCGCCCGGCTTACCTATTTCCATTCAAAAAACGCAATACGATTGCGCTCGACCAATTAGCAATATTGCGCCCGTCTATAACCTTTTTTACCTGCATAAAACGCAACACGATTGCGCTCTTAATAATTTTCCTTCCCAATTTTACAGGCTTAGGACTGACAACAAAATTAAATTGTTCGCTTGGTTAAAAATTTTGAGTTACAATTTTTTTTTTTTTTTTTTAATAATACTCTAATAGTAGCTCTATCATAGATATTTCTTTTTAATTAAAAATGTCTAATTAAATATTTTTTTATCGGTTGTACATATGGGGAAATCAAGTCCAAGGAAAACCAAGTCCGACTGTATTTTTAAATAGTGTACTAGAAAATTGTTATATAACATATACATATACGGGACAAACACATATTTATACATTAAAGCGCAATCGTGTTGCGTTTTATGCAGGTAAAAAAGGTTATAGACTGGCGCGATAGTGCTAATTGGTCGAGCGCAATCGTATTGCGTTTTTTGAATGGAAAAAGGTAAGCTGGGCGCAATCGTGGTTCACCGAACCAATGTAGAGGGGGGAGGTTCAATATTATTCATCTACCATGATGCAAGCACAAAGTGGAAGATCTAAGCAGTTTTCTTGTATGGAAAATGTGTCTTCAGACACAAAAAAACACTCATCATTGTAAACTCAAAACATTCATCACTCTCAACTCAGAATCTTAAAACAAGTGAATAAAAAATTTAAATAAATTAACTTGTGATTGTAAATTGTTATTTGTGACGGAATAATATTGTTTTTGCCGTTCACGGTACCTACCATCTTTATTATATAATAAAATAATAGGTCCAGAATAGTCTCATCGGCATTTCCTGCAAACGGTGCGTAATAATTTATTTTCAACCTAAGTTTGGCGGGCGTTGCTTAAAGATCTATTATATTATTATTGTGGTCTGGGGCTCGTACGTGATTTTCCAGGCTTGCGGCGTTTTCGTAAATATAAGAACCGAAAAGAAACGAAAAGTTTTGTGCCACTGAAATGTATGTAGGTGTCTTCTATACATGCGAGAAAGGCTTACGACGACCCACTGCAGCTATATTATTATACGCCGTTTCACCATATTATACATATATATATATAAAGACTTTGCAGGCGGCCGCGGCGGAGGAACTCTCGGGCGCAGGCCGACGATAAATTTGCCGACGTTCATCCGCGGTCGCCGGTCGCTCGCGTTTCTCGCGTCTATTATATCGTACGCCACCGGCTCTGTACCACACCGTTTACCGTATATATCTCAACCCGTTATATCCCTTAAGGATTTCCCAAAAACATTGGCCCCTCAAGGTTATATATATGTAGGAGGTACCTATATATATAAACGGTTTGCCGCAGTCGCGTCTTCGGCGGAGCAATCGAGCGCGGTCCGCTATATACAGTGTGTTCACTCTAAGAGGTACCGCTAAATATTTCAGTCCGGTGACCTTGTATTAAAATGGGGTTTTCGCTGAATGACAGATAGTACTTAAATACACATTTTCAGATAAATTTCAAATTTTTAACTCTTTCGATAGGCGCATGCGCGATACAACCTACTTTTTTTTAAATGGCAACATCAACTTTTTTTTACATATTTGGATAGAGTATTTTTTTCTAAACAATTTATGTACAAAAAGTTTTTTTCTAATTACAAACTTGGCATATGAAATTTAACGATGAAGTTTAATATTTACGAGGAATAAATGTACAACGAACAGGAATTATACTATCTTAATTACTGGCAAATGTTGTCAAAGTTGTTTTTACTATTTTATCTGTGTGCAAACAGGTACTTAACATTATTGGATATTAATAAGTAACAATAAGTTGAATTAAGTTTAAATTTTGTCATAAAAATTACTCGTAAATATTAAATTTCATATGCCAATTTTGTAATTAGAAAAAAACTTTTTACACTTAAATTGTTTAGAAAAAAATACTCTATCCGAATATGTAAAAAAAGCAAGTTGATGTTTCCATTTAAAAAAAGGAAGTTGTATCGCACATGCGCGTATCTAAAGAGTTAAACATTTTAAATTTATCTGAAAATGTGTACTTAAGTACTATCTGTCATTCAGCGAAAACCCCATTTCAATACAAGGTCGTCGAACTGAAATATTTAGTGGTACCTCTTAGCGTGAACACACTGCAGGCTTTTATTTATACGCCTCGGACCTAATATCGTATATAGGTACAGTGTACACGTTACACGTATATATGCGTATGCGTATTATACAGGGTGTGTCTGCTGCAGACCGCTTTCTTCCCGCGGCGGCGAGTTTGCAGATGGATTGTGATCCATATACCGATTATATATATATATCACTCAGCCGAGTAGTTTTTTATCCCACGATCTGTGAAACTCACCGCGGCCATAGACCGCGATTCGAAGACTTTTATAAGTCCTATTATACCTACCCGTATATAATATATATTTTACCGTCAAGTAAAAATGTAAAAGTCAAATTATTCATTTCCATCAAGTATTCATGTACAGATATATGAATTTTCTATGCGCTAGCTATAAACAATCTGGTGAAAAGTTATGACTGCGTATGGGGGCGTATAATATATACCTACACTGCAGCCTGTAAAGCTGCGTATATATACGCTGTACTTTATTATATATGGCGTAGGTGCGTAAACCAAAATTGTCTTAAGAAATTCGAATATTCATGAATCAGTAAATTCTTAATCTAATTAATGATTAAACTTTTAATTTTTTTACTTTTTTGGTCTACAATTGGCCATCCCTTAAAATAATGAAATGCCGAGCAAAAATTAATGTCGGCTCGAGGGAGGTGACCGTCCAACACTGCGCCTGATAATAATTAAAATAAAGTAAAGTTATATATTTTGTTGGAAGTTGAACGATATTGCGGCGAGGGACACCCTGTGGCCTCTCTCTTTATATATCATGTATAATAATATATACATAGTACATATACGGTATGCATTAGCAACGTGTATATATATTTGTATTATAGCAAGACTCTATAGCGGCCAGCACTATATGTATATGGGCGCACTCGGCAGGAGGGGATGAGCACAAGACGAATATCCCTTTTTCGTTGGAAAAGTTATGCGGGTGAGTACTGTGTGCGTATAGCAGGTATATATATGTGGACGGGTTTAGGGGGGTCGGCCAAGTTATATATATATATCGACCGCGCATCCTGCAGCAACTATTCGTTCACCATCCATACGTCGTCCCTTTCTGGACGGAGTTAGGGGTGCAGGCGTCGGTGTCGTTATCTAAATCGCCGGGGGTTGTTATTAATTGGCGGTGGCGGCGAGACGTAGTAGTCGTAGAAGTCGTCGTAGTTTATAGAATATATTCAGTCAGTCTTTATAACTAAGTATTAATTTCCTCGGTCTACGAGCACTGCGTCACTCCATCATCCCCTCCTATCGCTCACGAGCCTCGGTATTTGCACGATAGTGTTGTAACTTGTAAAACCATAATACTAAATAAAGTACACGAAGTGTAAACAAAAACAATATTATAATATTTATAATAACGACGATGATGTTATTATATTATGTGACGACGGACGGAATATTGTTATTATAACCGTACCGGCCGTTGTCACATTCGGACGTGCATATTGTTATGCTGTTTTATTATTACAATTTCGACTTCGTCATGCGATGTAGGGTGGTCGTCTTGATCGCGTTCACCGTGGTCATCGGCTGGTGGCCGGCCGTGGTCGTGGCTTGGAACACCGACAGACTGTACGGCACGCGGATGCGGGCTCGGCTAACCGACTTGGCCGTGTGGCGGAACCGCGCGTACGCATGCTGGCCCAGGGCTGACGCTTCACAACCGGTCACCCTGTTAGAACTGCCGTGGCCGGAAACCGTCAACGAACAACCGCAACAACCATCGTCGTGGACGCCTAGCAGGCCGTTTTACGCAGATCAACAAGTGAGCACTCCTATATGTGTTATTATTGTACCTACCTATTTAATATTAATAATTACGTCATGGTTACGACTTTACGAGTTCAGTGGCGTTCTAAAAATCTAAAGTTATTGTAGCGCTCGAGAAACGCTACTGCGAGTCGTATACTAACATTGTCACATTCTATCTTAATATTACATTTTATATAATATTATACCATTGGTTTTTTTTATTTCTGAAAAAAATGTATCAATTTTCATTAACGCACCGCCATTACAATCTTTATTTGAATATTTCCATTTCATTAATCCGTCTCTGCGTTGTCTTACAGATGAATATTTAAAATAATTTAATAATGTTAGTTCTTTTCCGCGTTCAGAATAAATAAATTCAAAGTTTTCCATTATAAACACTATTACACCGAACAACTGAATTTGAAGACGGCTTATCCAACAATTACGACTATAAGCAATATTAATAATTATTTACAGTAGAATATCGGCTCCGTAAACAGCGATATCGTTTTGAATATTATATTTATCGCTTGTATACAATACAATATAAAAAATTAAAATAGACGATAACGTCGTTCGAAAAATCGTTTTCAATCGTTTGAATGTAACGTATAAAATATAATTTCTTTGATCTGCCGTTAATCGTTCGAACTCGTGTTACCAAAAAGGTAAAACGTTCACGATCGAATGACACCAATATATTATTATATTGTACCTTCATAATACATACTATAATATAGACATATTATAGTATATATTATTATGATGTAACCGCTATGATGTTAATATTTAGATAATGTAACATTATCCGTTCCATTAAACATAAGCCTAATGTCTATTGCATAACAATAATAGTAACCATTAAACATTTTTTTTCATTTTTTACACTACGTCATGGGGTAGAAGTTATCTTCAGTTTACATGAGTAATTTGCCGCAACATTGAGTTTTTATATTTATTTTTCTTTCGAAATCAGAAGCAGAATTCTTGCCTTAAAATGTTGATGCGTATGCACTATGCATACCACCGAGGCACCGAATAAACTGAATAAATTGTCTTATGTATTTTATAAGTGTAGTTTAGAGGGTGATGGATTAAAATATTATAGCTATAAGTAGTTAGCAGTTGTGAGCACCGCACAAAATTAGTTGTTACCTATCCTCTGTTCCATTCATCTCAATACTAAATAAGGTACCTACCTACCAGGTACCTACTTATTCATAAAAATTATTTAATCGATATTCGATTTGACAAAAATAAATAAATAATTTTTAAAAGTTTTCAGATTCCGATAGTAAAATTAAAAATATCGACCGTTATATTAAAAAATATGTTTGGGAACGTTCATTTCAAAAACACAAAATTCAGAGTTCTAATTGACAATTATTAATACATTATAGTGGAGTATAGTGAACTTAAATATGTGGATCAACCCGTATAATCAATTTTTCTCCTTCAATTGTCCCTATATACATAGTAAAATATAATATAATATATTATATTTTGTCGATGAGGTGGGTACATAATAATATATAACAGCGAAAGACTAACGGGTCACGTGCATTTTTTCATTCTGTCCCTCGACCGGACTGTTGTGTATATAATATAATATATTTATTTACAAATGCGCCGTATTGTATAGTGTGTAAATCCGTCGACGAGCGTGTTCTTGTTATAGGTCAAATATAATATGTAACGTTCAATATTGGCATACCTATATATATATATATCTATATATATATATATATAAATGTATACATATATATGTGTGTATATGATATATATATAAATGTATATAATATGTATATATAATACTTGTTCCGACCGCGTGTCGTGAACTTTGATCCGATAGTCTTTTCTCTTTCCGTCCAGTTAATAGTTGACCTTATTTTGTTATTATCTCTCTCTTTGAGCTCGTTTCTCTCTCCCTGCTGTTAATCGGTATAATATTATACGCGTATAGTGTACCTAGGTGTATATAATATATAGTCGTACAGTATACGCACACAAAAAAATACGATGACATACGATATGCCACCGCAGTAGTACCTAATCTTATGTAGTTCGATCGCGTACACAACAACAACAACAATATGGTTGTATACAACGTGACTCTCGTTTTTCTTGTCGTTGTTATTATTGTTATTCTGTCCGCCAGCTGGAGACGACTACGATGACGACGATATACGGTCGCAGTCGTTTTCGCCGTCATTTGTTTTTAAATCAAAACTCGATTTCTACAAAACTATCACTATAGTATAATATATTATATTATAGTATACTATTAATATACGGCTCGCTCTGTTTATATATTTTAGTTTTTTTCTCTTACGAAACCTGCAAAGAACTACGGCACAACCAAATCGCATTATATTATATTATAATACGCTGAGAGTTGGTCTTTTGTTTTTATTCATTTCGCTCCGAAATATCTCGCGGAGCTCGACTGCTAAACTTTAACTGGAAAATGAAAAAAACAACAACAATATATTTTCGCCTATTAGCGTAGTCTTCCCGCGACTAAAGGGGAAAAAACTCATTAAAAAGTTCCGAATTAGTTGGAACGATTTTCTCGATTGCTTATAATATTGTTATTTTTTCATTGCCATTATAATATATTAGCTGTCGTTTGTTTTTAAACATCGCACGATAAGTCTGGCGCTTGGAGTAGAAAGACGCTCTACCGTTATAATAATAATATAAGCTTAGCATGCGGCGAATAACCTACCTATATATTATATGCAGCTAACCAGCGACAGGTATACATAAACAACGATGCACGACCGTAATAAATTCGTGAAAAATAACCACCACGATTAGTGAAATATTCGTGTAGACGCACTACACGGACTAAGATGAACGAAAATATCCGTGGTAATGGATTATTATTTATTGTTAATTATATAGTTTCTGCTATATTAATTTGTTTTGTTTTAAGTGCGCTGCACACGTCATTTATACATTTAATCAATTGTTTATCAATGTAAATTATACAATAAAAATAAATAAACGATATCATGTTGGTGGTTTTCATAACATCCCACACAGCATTTTAATATTTCCCAACTATGGTAAAAATATTTTCAGGAAAACAATAAAGTTGTCAAAATATTTGCGAAAGTTGCGTAAATAATAAGGACATCTTGTACTTATATTTTTTGGCCAGGAAGTTCACTTTTAAAAAATATTTTGTAAAAAACATAAATAAAATTTATAATCATATTTTTCCAAAAAACATTTTCTTGGAAACATAAAAATATTAAGTCAACATTTTTGTGCAACCATCATATATTCCAATATTTTGTTATCATGAGGATAAAATATTTATACAATATTATTAGTCAAATATTCATTATTCAAGCACTCCAAAATATTCACAAAATGTTATCATTTCCCAAATGCTGTGTGGGATTTACTATAGACATATTGGCTTTGGTTATTATAATTATAGTTGTTATTGAACATCCGTCACCAGTAAATTCGAAGTGTCGAATCACCGGGACAAAATATAATATGAATGTTAAAACTTTAAAAGCATCACCCACATAATATATATAGGTGCCACGTATACTCGTACAGTCGAAACCAGAAATGTATAAATACGGCTTCCGGGTTGACCCCTCGGACCATGGATACGAGTGTTCGACATCTGCGAGAACGGTGTTCCGAATGCTTCGGGTGCACAGAGCGTGAAGTCAAGGACGGTGTCTGTTTACAAGACAACCCAGTGGGGCCTGAGCACGAACTTTTCGTGCAGGTCGACGGCCCCATCCGGTACTTCTGAAAAACTAGGTTTCAGCTTTTGATCTGCTTGAAATTCGGCTATAGGATTATTGTACTTGATGTTCACTGCAGGCATTGTGTTAGCTCAAGGATAAACTATATAGTTGATGACATGAATTATACCTGGGTTGAAGTGTTTGAGAAATATCGTCGGTTTAAAATCCATATAAAAAGATTATAAACGGGTAACTACTATAATTGAATACATTTATATCACACTCGTCTGACCTACCAGAATTAAAACTGCTCCTATTATAGGTGTATAGGACGTTTCAATATTTTAAGTAAAATACTAATAGATATATACTCTGAGAAATACAATATTTTTACTCGTGACATGCGACTTCCTGAAAGACCCCGCCGACCAGGAGCGTGTTAGTCTCGATTATACTGTTCCGGTTGGCGTTTGATGTACAGCGCGGAGTCACAGACGGCGAAGGACGATTCAGTACGAACAATTTATTCATATGGTTAAACACCTAAGGACGGCCCTTAATGTTAGAATCTTTAAGGTCCCTTAACTTTAATATTTGTTTATTAAGTACCTACTTATGGTACACACTGATAATATGCGAGCCTGTAGTTCATGTGCCACATGGGTTCCATGCTGAAAATGTCATATTAAAATAATGTTAGAATGTTATATAAATTTAATTCAATTAAGTACTTAATCTACTACCTAGTATACTTATTACTTACTACTCACTATATTATATAAACGATGAGACAAATTCCGCAATGAGCCAGATACTTCAGAATATATTATTATATATACAGAACATATTAATAACATATATATTATAATGTCTTGAAATTTGTTTATGCGCACAACCATTATCTAAATTGCACCACGCGTACTCTAGAGAAAAAAGCGTAATCATTTACATAAAACGAATTTGTATTCTCCGACGGCGATCTTATATTTATACCACCTAAGTCGGGGATGTGACGTATACTATATATATATATTATATATACACTTATAAGTATCAAAAGTCCCACTTTGGGCGCTGAAATATATATATAATACACATGTAAAGGCATATATATATCGTGGCGTATAACATAATATATATATACAGACGGACGTGGACCGAGTCGAACAGTATTACTCGAGCGTACAGTCTATTAACGTAATAAAATCGCGATGTCGTTAACTACACATACGTCGTATACATATTATATACATATGATACATACTGCAGTTGTGACTATCGTGTGAGTGTATTCCAACGATATGTATAACACTTACATCTACGGTTCTACCAGCCGTGTGTGTATATATATATATATAAATTCAAAAGTCGTCAAAGTAATTTCTCAGTCTGC